GAAATGGAAGTAAGCTCAACAGAAGGACTTATAGTTGAAGTTTACAACAATCAACTGAGCAGACTTCACGTTTCCATCCAACTCCTCTTAGCCATGCTTCCTAAAAGATATCCTCATCTAAAGTAGACTGCAATTGTAACCTCGCTCCGGCCTTATCATTAAACCGCAGCAGGACTCGAACCCGAGTAGTTGTGTATTTAATGTCGATATGCTCCTACCACTCCACGAGTGCCCCTGGCCAACAGAGTAAAAGTGAATGTCAAGGAAGGCCGGCCGTTTTGCAGTGCCCATTTTTTGTGTAATCGGATCATGGATGAAGTAATTGTAATCGACTGCACTGGTTGTGTCCATATTGCCTAGGTTTCGAAGCTACCGCCAGAACTTGAATGAGGGCTGTTGGAAAAGAGAAATGTAAACGTGAGATCTACTCATTTCTGCTGATAGTCCTTTATCCTTTTTGCAGCCCAGAGTGACAGGAACTCTTTTTAGAAGCTTCAGTTTCCATTCGGGTTGCCGATGTGACTGAGGTTGAGTCATCAAAATATTCCAATTCTAATGAAAATGCCTATAACATCTTGATAAACTTGTTTTTTCTATAAATATGCCTGTCTATTTTCAGCACAATTCTTTATATTATTGTGGAAATGTTGGTTAGTTGTTGCCTTGGCCATGGCAGTCTTCGATGGACTGTTGATGCGGGAGGATTGCGTGTCGAAAATTGGCAGACTTGAAGCAGATGCTGAGCAAAAGACACATTCGCGAGACCACCTCCTATACCACTTCGACACCAACTGTAAGCTGAAAAATGAGATATTTGAAGGCATATAATTGCCTTATGAAAAAAAACTGGATTTCGAAGAATTGGTTGGAAGGAATTCGTGATGTGGTCTCACCGGAAAACGAATAAAGATTGTCGCGTGAGGAAGACCGTTGAATTGTGCCAAGAAGTCCTCGGCTCACCATCCTGCCACTCCGATGAACCTGTGCTGAGCGTTCGTCTGTAGCGGCTTCATCAGAGCAAGAATCCATACTTTACAAAAAAGAACATAAATCTACTAAACCAAGAGAAAAGAAATTTTTTTCTTCACATCTTTTAATGTAAAAATATGTTTACTGAGGCTACGCCCTGTCGATAGTGGAGACTGAGTTGGTCAAAATAATGAGAATCAGTGAGGGATTAATGAAAGGTTGGCTCCACAAGCCACTTTGGTAGGTTAGGGTTTCATCGACTCCGATGAAACTGTGCCAATCTTTCGTCTGTTCTGTCACTGTGGCAGACATCATCAGAGCATTATGGAATCTTGGTCTGGACAGTGAGCCGAGGCATTCTCGGCCCAATTCAACAGTCTTCCTCACGTGACAATCCTCATTCGGTTTCCGCATCACGAATTTCTTTTGCAATAAGTGGGCATTTGGTCGCCCAGTGGCGTTTACTGGCTGGACATGCCATGACGCTATTGCTTCAGGGCAACTTGGCATCAATTATGCAAGCGACAGACAGCAATACTGCAAAATGACATTACATTACCTTATCATTCATGCACTCTTTTTTTCTGTCTCTTATTTTAATACGTTTTATCGCATAATTAAATCTCATTCTCGCCGGCCATTCATTACTATTTGATTCGGGTATTGCACATCTAGTTCAATGATGTTGTTATATTTCTTTGTCTGCCAAAAAAAACTTCTCATATCAATACTTTCCTCTATTCTATAATCTCTTTCTTTCTTGACTTTTCTCCATTTCATAATATCATCTTTTTGCCAGCCAATGAAAACCTTCCGTCTAAAATAAATCATTTTCTTGAAAAAATTATTAAATTTGGAGCAATAGACATTCTGGTGTATTTCTCTTTTAAAAATGTTCAGGAGCCTTACATGCAATTTCTGAACGGCTACGTTTCTAGTCAAGCAGACAGCATGCGCTCTTTCCTGCGTAAGATCTCCATTCTCCCCACCGGTCCCAGTCTCTTCTTGACCTCGCCCATTTCGAATGCGACCGACACCTCTTCGGGCGACGACATCGCCGAGCGCCTCGTTGGTACCGCGGCTTCACATGCAGCCTGTGGGGCTAGCAGCGCCTCAATCCAGGCAGCCGACAACAGTGGTCTTCATGCTACCATCGACATCGGCTACGAGCTGGCTTGTCTTCACACGATTCTCGTTGAGGTTCTGTTTGCCCGAGCCCAGGGACTCGTCGTCAACACCGCATCAGTTGGCGCTTGCAGTGGCCGTGCACCTCCTGCTCAGTGTCTGAGAACTCGACAGGTGAGTTCATTTTGCTCGAGCGTTCGTCTTCTTTTGCTCCATCGCGCTGGGCGATGGAGGAGGCCAGTTGAGGCGAAATCAATGATATCGCTAAGGCTGATCATCTAATTCTGGGGAAATTCCACTATCGCCTCTATGGCTTGTAGACATATTCGAGCATCTACTTTAATTTTTCGTTTTATGCCCATCTCTTGACGTTTTTCTTGTATTTTATCTATCCATCCATCCGCTTTTACTCCACACATGGCCGTTCTTTCTCTCATCTTTTCCTTAGTCCTCTTTGATCATTCCCCATTGGCAGTCTAGCTGTTATAGACATATGCGAAGAGAAGAGTGGGTTTTGATAAATCTCATTAGATTGCATTGTTGTGGAGACTTTCATTTCATGTCAAAGTGAATATTGAACAGAGTCCTACGTAGATCTTAACAGAAAACGACAGTTGATTTGTGTTTCACTGCAGCCGTTTGGCTTTAATACAACCGTCAGGCTGACGCAGTCCACTCGACATTCTCCTTTGACCGTTTTATTCTGGCGAGCTCGACATACGAGTCTCTTCGGTATGCACTTTCATACGAAATGCAGATCGCCACAATCCTACTCTTTCGTGTCTTCTTTACAGGCCTGGAAGACGGATCTAGAATGGACAGACGGTTCACGATTGATACGCGCCTGAAGATTGCGAAATTCCATTTATTGTTGAGCTTACTTCCATTTCGAGTAGAAGTGTTGGGTGAAGAGATTCGAAGGTCGGTTCCACCAAAAAAAGGACGGCGGATTCCTCTTGACCAGCTGTCGATTGGCTTTACTGGAACATTCATGAGGACGCCGTTTCCGAGGTAATCTTCTTCGATTCCGGTGCAAACTTGCTTAGTTTCGTCCGTCATATGACGGACATCATCAGAGCGAGGTATCATCATCACTACCTAATTCAAGCTAAGGAATCAAGAAAACTCACCGGCAAATCCCAAAAATGTGGTATATATACTCTACATCTGGCCTCTTTGATGAAGTATAAAGTGATTTGGTTAGTTAAGGTTATATG